TATGAGTAGTGTGCTGAGTGTGTGTGGATGAGTAGTGTGCTTAGTCTGATGTATACATGATCAGGATTTCTGTGCTAAGTGTATATGGTGAGTCCTGTGTTGAGTAAGCATTGGCGGGTACTATGTTGAGTAAGCATTGATGGGTGCGGTGTTGAATCTGGATCTGTGAGAATTGTGCTGAGTGTGAGTGCATATTTGGGGGTCCCCACTGAATGCATAGTTTGGGGTACTGTGCTATGTCCTCCCATCTAGCAGCACACAGTCTTAGCATCCTCACTGCACTGATCAGATCAAAATACATCTGCTCCCCCTTCCTGTAGCTAGTACCACCTACAGTGATGGGTAGCCACATCCTACCAGTGAGTACAGTTTGCGGGTATTTGCAGTCCTGGATAGGAATATGAGACAGCATCCCCAGTCTTTGGGCAATCTCAGTCTATAGGACAGTGTCAATGGACCACCACTGAGTACCTTATGTGTACTTCAAAGACCTCTGTGGCCACTTAGCTGGGAAGAAACACAGACACACACTGAACTGTGTCCAAGACCTGATGTTCAGATCTTAAAGGCAGTGGACATTGCTGAACTGACTTAAAGGAGCCTTCATCATGTCCAGGAGGATGCTGAAACACACACTTGCATTTCCAGGAGAATTAGCTGTCTTAATAGCATCAAAACCTTCCCCCTAATTGAACCTGTCTCTGAAAATTGATTTAGAAGTTTCCTTGCAGACAGCTGCCAGCTGATCCCTAGTTGGTGGGACTATAGTGTCCCAACCTGCCCACCTTGGTGGGTGATTCTTAGAGAGACTGAGCAATTTTTATGGAGCCTTCTTTGCTGTCTATTCAGTTTGAGGACAGCCAGACCTTGTGCTGAAACTCACTAACCAACCTGCAGGAAACTTGCAGCCTGCACCGTGGGTTCCTTTGGCACCTCCATGTCTGTGCCACACTGGAATGCATGTCCCTCCAGCCACCCTCAGACCATGTCATTCCCCTTGTCTCAGCACTGAGCTTGCCTACACCAGAGCCCCTGCCCAACTCCATAGTTCTTCTAGGTCCCACAGCCTTTCTGCTGCTCCCTTGTGCCCTCCTCAGGGTGCCCCCTGAAATGAATGACTTCACAAATGGCAGCGCTCATCCTTGACTTCCCTTCATGTTCCCTTTGCTAGTTTCTTTAGCCCACACCTGCCAGCCTGTTCTCATGGATGCTGCTTAAAATCAGGGCACAAGGATCACCACACAGTCCTGGATTCGCTCTAGTTTCCACCATCAGAACAAGGACAGGTCCTGTGGGTTAACCTGATTCTCACCCACCCACCTGCAACAGGAAGAACCAACACCCAGAGATGGCACCTTCAGTGAGCCAAGCAAGACCCAGACATGGCAGCAGCAGTTACCACAGAGGTCCTTAGGTGCACCCCATCCCACTGTGGCCCCAACTCCATCCTTGAATGTACTCACTTCACTCAATGCTCCTGGACACATCCAGGTATGGGACCACCTTCCCTGAATCTGAATGGGTGCTACACCCCATCTTCCCCTCTAGCTCTCTGTTCTGTGTCCCACGTGATTACAGTCATGGTCCTGGAGGGGACAGTTCATCTATTTTAAGACCAACAACTTTCTCCACTGCTACTTCAGGGATTGCTCCAGACCTCCTCTGAGCTCAGTTTTCAGATGTCCAGTAGGCTGGTTTCCCAATCATTACTTTAGTCTGAAGCCAAGGAAACAGTGATGCTATTATCAACATGTGGAATGTGTGTCAAGGAGTGTGAGCAAATATGACTGGTGTGTGTGTGTGTGTGTGTGTGTGTGTGTGTGTGTGTGTGTGTGTGTGTGTGGTATGTGTTCATGGTAATGTAGGGAGTTGGGAAGCAATCACCCTAGCAAGCTAACTTTGGAGATCTCACTCAGTCTCAGGAGCCCCAAGGGCCTAGGCCATTACCCTCATGCATTCTGGGAGGTATGGGGCATGATCCCAACTATACTCACCATAAAGTAGGAAGGCCACAGCTTCATCAATTCTCACTAACACTATCACGTTTGAAACATGGAGTGAAGTTTGAGGTAAGGCTCCTTCTACATCTATAAACAAGGTAGGGTGTATGGGTTCATCAGTAGAGTAGGGGGCATTGATCCCTCAACATACAGCACTCCAGATTGGGGCCACATGGGCAGCATAAACATCTTACATCCTGAGCTCATCTCTTAGGCATGTCATCTCCATGATCCCTCTTCATTCTGCACCCAAACACAAGTGCACAAGTCTTGCCAATTTAAGACTGGTCAGAAGAATGAGTTCCTTTCCCTGCTGCTCACAGGAACCAGGAGTGCTGTCTGTCTTTCAGCTGAAGTTACTGGTGGGCTCCCTGTTCTCCCCTCGGGTGACACGTGGCCCTTCCTATTGGCCTGATGATCTTTTGCAGGTGCAGAAGGATGAGAGGGGAGAACATCACCAAGGTGAGCACATTCATCCTGCTGGGCTTCCCCACAGCCCCTGAGCTGCAGTACCTGCTCTTCCTCCTCTTCCTGCTCGCCTACCTCTTTGTGCTGGTGGAGAACCTGGCCATCATCCTCACTGTCTGGAGCAGCACCTCTCTCCACAAGCCCATGTACTACTTCCTGGGTTCCTTGTCTTTCCTAGAGATCTGGTATGTGTCAGACATCATCCCCAAGATGCTGGACGGCTTCCTCCTGCAGAGGAAACGCATCTCTTTCGCTGGTTGCATGACTCAGCTCTATTTCTTCATTTCTCTTGTGTGCACAGAATGTGTACTCCTGGCTTCCATGGCCTATGACCGCTATGTGGCCATCTGCCATCCCCTGCGCTACCAAGTCATCATGACCACGGGGCTGTGTATCCAGCTCGTGATCTTCTCCTTTGCAAGTGCATTCACAGTCTCTGTGATCAAGGTCTACTTTATCTCCAGTGCCACCTTCTGTGGCTCCAATGTCTTGAACCACTTCTTCTGTGACATCTCCCCCATCCTCAAGCTGGCCTGCACCGACTTCTCTACTGCAGAGCTGGTGGACTTCATCCTGGCCTTCATCATTCTGGTGTTCCCTCTCCTGGCCACCATTCTGTCCTATGGACACATCACCCTGGCTGTGCTTCGGATCCCTTCAGCCACAGGACGGTGGAGGGCCTTCTCCACCTGTGCCTCCCACCTCACTGTGGTCACCTTCTTCTATGTGGCCATGATTTTTATATATGTGCGGCCCCAGGCCATTGATACCCGGAGCTCCAACAAACTCATCTCTGCTGTGTACACTGTCCTCACACCCATCTTAAACCCCTTGATTTATTGCCTAAGGAACAAAGAATTTAAGGATGCCCTGAGAAGGACCCTGGGATTGGGTCACACTCTATAGTAGAACATTACATGTTCTAGAATCTAATTTGTGGTGAAAAAAGTCTCTTGTATAGCACCTAATGTTGTTTTAAAGTTTTTGTAAAATTTAGTACTAATATGGAGCTAGCTACAATAACAAACCTTCATCCAAATATGTTTTTTCACTGTAGGCTCAGGTAACTAGCTCCTAAGTAGATTGGGTATTAGAGTCCACCCCTAGTGAGCCTCTCTGCCTCAGAAGAACCACTATGCTAGGTTCTAGGGCTAGAGAGTAATCTGGGTGTTTTGAAGGTTTTATGACTGTAGTCATAAAGCACTTACACTTTCAGGTTCTTTTTTGGCTCAGCATCATGTGTTTGGGTCTTTCTGTCTTAGCATTGATTAATGAGTTGTTGCTCAATAGTATTCACATATATATCGATGCAGGTTTGTGGCATGCAGTATTGTGGATACTGTCTAGGATGTGTAATGCTGCTATTTGCAATCCAGGTAATATTTTGTAGCCATGCAGTTTGGTAAGCTACACACAACTGTATCTAGGCTAGATCTAGTTACATACAAGAACCTGATGAAACACAAGCTATGTGTATAGTGAGGTTTTGTAGAAACTGAAAAAAAAAACAGTTTTCTAAACTGTACCAGTTTTACTCCCATTAGCAGTACAGAAGAATCCCAATGGTTCCATACCCTGTCTAAAGGTAATGTTGCTCATATTTCAATTCACCCTTTTTTTCTGGACTCCAAATTTATCCTAATGTGTTTTAAATCTGCCTCTTCCAATATCCCATTGTCCTACTTTCCTTCGCTGTTGCTATGATAAAATACTTTGAGGAAACATAGGTTTATCTGGCTCATTATTCCAGGTTACAGTCCATCACTGCAAAGAAGTCAAGGGGCGGGGACATACAGCAGCTAGCCACACCCACTGCCCAGAGCAGAGGGAGAGTGAGCACGTGTATGTTTGTATTCATCTCACCTTTTCCCATTTGTTTGTAGTTTTTGATCCAAACCTGGGATATGACCACAGCTCAGCCTGATCTAGAGAACCCCTTATCAAGATTCCCATCCAACGTGATTCAACCTTGTGTCAAGTTAGCAATTGAAACTAACCATTCCATTCCTCAGGGGTAGCAATAGCTTGCATCTGTTAGTGGGCAGACACCCCATATGAAATGCTGACTGTCTTCCAGGAGTGACGAGTCTCACAAACCCCAACACGGTTTAGGAGCTATGCTAGTACATTGGGAATCATCTCACCATTTGGTCTATAACCTGGATGATTGTCCTGTTCCCAAGCTTCCCAGAGTTGGCCTTTTAAGAAGAAAGCCTCAAGAGCTCAGGAATGGCCAATCATTGAGCACTCTGTGAAGCCATGCTTACACATCCTTTTCAGATATCAATTTTGTTTTGTTCCATATCACGGCACATGTGCCGCTTATTAAGTAGACCGTTCTTCCTGAGGAGGCTTGGAACAGAGCTGTGGAAAGCACTAGGGTTACATCTCATCAATGTCAGCACTGGCAGATGCAGCACAAAAACCTGCCTTGATGTTGATTGACACATGTAAGCTTCATCTTCATGGTGGCAAGGTATCACTGAGACCAAGGAGAGGATTTTTGTCCACTTGGGGTTGTCTTGATGACAGTCCCACTGTACCTGAGAAGTCCTTTGTTTCCCTTACAGGTCCAAATGGCCGTTCCTCCACAGCTGTAAATGTGTGTGGCCATTTGCTGGTTTGTCCTTAAGGAATATGACAGATGAGGCTCAGGAAGCTCCTCTGCTGGGCTGGCTCGGGTCCTGAAAGGTTTCCCTTTGCTATTAACTTACTTGGGGCTTGAACGTCTAGTCTGCCTGGCGGCCTCCTTCTGAGTCTCTGGCACAGGATTCACCAAGGGCTCAAGACTGTCCAGTAGAATATCCCACAAAGCAACACCATGGGCCTCTGCTTTGATCCTACACTTGCTGAGCCCACGGCTTCTCCATCATCAGGCAGTGGTAAGAGGCAGGGTCCAGTTGGCTGCTGTGTCTTAGACACAGGCTCTTTAGATATTTCCACTCATGATTTCTTTACACAGAGAAAATTTACACAACCTTCAGAACATAGGGACATAATACATACACAAATCAAGTATTTAGTGATATAAAATATAAATACATTTATTTTTTTCAAAAGCCTTGGTATAGAAGAATTCCCCTGTTTATTAAAGACAGAAGCAGACTTGCATATTTAATCACAAGCGTATTTATTTTTACACAACAAATGAGATCTGGCTGAATATTTGATATTGAAGGACGCAGAGAATCTTCAACTTCTTCAGTTGATGGATATCTTTACTTTACACCTGTCAGTGTTGAGAATGAAGTTTCACATAAATGAGGAATACAAAATGGCAGAAGCACATTTAGCACCCTTCCATAAATTGTTGGAAATTCTTGGTCTCAAGACAAAATTAATTCAACAGTTTCTCATGAAACTTGAGTTGGTGACTCAAACAGCAATTTTATAGATAAAACATTCTAACTCAATCCAATAGAAAGATGATACTGGTTTGATTCTCAGATGCTGAGGGATGGTGGTAGGAATATATTAAAAGTTTTTGTGTTCCACAATTAAACCATTCCATGTCTAAAAGAGCAGGAAAGTGTGCTCTTGCAGTAAAAAACGCTACAGTTCCTAACATACGGTGGTCTGGAGTCTGAGCCTGGCGTTTCAGGCGGAGTTCTTTGGTCTTATGTGGCATGAGGGCACACATGGTATTCACATTGTGTTCAGAAGGAAGGCTGCAGTGAGGCTGCATGATTCAACCCAGGCCAGAGCTGTCAGCCACTCTGCTCACTGTCCCTTTAATTGGTGGTTAGTTCTTGTCATATATGTTATGTTCAGTAACCATTTAGTATTGCTAAATTATTCATGAAGTTTGTCTCATAGAGAACTTAGGAGAAATGGGAGAACTCCACAAGATAGTAGTCCAGCTGCTGAGAAACACTGGGTGTAGTCAGGGAGTGCATCAGCCAGATGCCCAGACGTGGGGGGGCAACAAAGAAAGGCCATAGGCCCCACAGGCTGAAGGGCAGGGCCAGCCTGCTCCACAGGTCCTGATCCAGCTCATTACCAGTGTGGGCAGCTTCATCAGCTGCAAGGGGGTAATTGGGCCCAGGAGACACTGGGCTCCAGCTAAAAAGCCATAACTATTCCTCCCTACACTTGAGGAGCCCATGTCCTAAGAATCTGTCTGAAGCTCATCTGGTCATTCTGGCCAGCCTGGGAGTCACCAGTCAGGAAGAGGCCCCTCCTTGTTCCCAAAGTCTGTCCAAGTGACGCTTCCAGAGCCCCCAGGTAGGATGAGTGCTTCTCAAGCCAGGATGGATCATGCTGTGATTTTAGAATATGTTATAAATGTGCATCATAGAAGAACCTCGTGTGCAGTGTGACTGAAACCCCATCATACATGTCCACATTGAGGCTGGGGCAAGATTCATCTACAGCCACAGCACCCAGCATGAAGGCTCACAGTACTGTATCAAAGGGTCTTGCAACTGTAAGTGCTATACTGAATGCTCATCTTTGGATACTGCAATGAATGTATAATGATGGACACTGTGTGAGTATGCATGTATGAGTACTGTGCTGAGTGTGTATGAATGAGTAGTGTGCTTAGTCTGACGTATACATGATCAAGATTTCTGTGCTAAGTGTATATGCTGAGTCCTGTGTTGAGTAATCATTAGTGGGTACTATGTTGACTACGTATCGATGGGTGCTGTGTTGAGTATTGATCTATGAGAATTGTGCTGAGTGCATATTTGGAAGTCCATGTTGAATGTATAGTTTGGGGTACTATGCTATGTCCTCCCACCTAGCAGCACACAGTCTTAGTTAGCAACCTCACTGCACTGAGCATCTAGCCCAGAAATCATCTGCTCCCCATCATGGCTAGGTCCTTGTCCACTGGTTCTACCATGTAGGAGGGTAGCCTCTGAGCTCATGACTGCAGGCTGACAGAGGACAGGACCCTCTCACAGACTCCTGGGGCACCTCCAGTCCACAGAAAGCGTCCTTCCCCCTCTTGGTTTCTTGCATGGACCTGAGTTGGAACTCTGTCCATGCAAGGACATTCTATTCTGTCTGAAGCACCTGGCAGACCCGGCTTGTGATGGGAGAACCCCTGACTCCTCTTCAGAACCCATTTGGTCCTCCAGTCTCCATAAGAACCATGAAACCCAGCATGAAAATGTATTCTCAGTGGGGATCTCAGATTAGTGGGGACATGGGAGCCAACAGGTGACAGTCACACAAAGTGGGTGCAATTGTGAGCAAGTGCCTGGGCCCACTCCTCATCCTGATAGCATACTATATTACCCAGACCATTGGCCTTGAGGGAGCCGAACAGAAAGTCCATGGTCTGTCAGTCTAAAATGATTCCAAAATAGAAAGTCTGTTTGAAGGAACACACAGCCATGGCCAAGGTACAGGTGAGGATGGGCATGCTGCTCTAAGGGGCTCAATTTGCAGATCAAGATTCTATCCACCATCATTTATTAGCTCCATCATTAATTAGCTCATTCACAGAAATCAGTGGCCATGTCCCAATGATAAGCACAATCAGTGGGGCTCGCACCGTCCTGGAAATACAGCAATCCCAGGCAAAGCCAGTATGCCAATGGCTCCCTTAGGAGCTTCAAAGCCATTTGTGGCCACTGAGCCAGGAAAGTCTGCTCTAGATGGTATCCAACACCAGATGTAGAGATTGTAATTGCAGGGTCATGACTAACTTAGCTTAAAGAGGTATGAGCTGGATGACATTCTGGAGGACATTGTAGGTGTTACTGAAGTCGATTCTCAGCATTGAATCATACACTAGCATTTTAATGGCATGAAAGTGCTGTTACCCTGGGATAACCCACAGCTGTGGCAAGTTTGGGTTCTTACAGGACACCATCCTTGGCAGGAATTCCCATCCCAGGTGTAAACTTTTGTTCAATGTCTTTCCTAGATTTTTCTTTTCTCATCCCAGAACCTTTCTGTGGACTCCAGGCTTGCTAAGCCAACCTTACAGACAGCATCCAACAGGCTATCCAACAAGCACTCACAGCACACTCCCCAGGCAGAGATGCTCCTAGACACCGGGCAGCCACAGACCCTCTCTACACTTCCTATCACTGCAGTGTCCTGGGTATGCTAAACAACCAGCCTTACCTGACTCTCTTTTCCTCTCTCTTTGCTGCCGAGATCCAAGAGACTGCTAGAAGACCAGAGCCTGTAGCTTAAAATGTCAGACATTTAGTCTTTCAAAGTTTGGGGGGCCAGATGTTCAAAATCAAACTGCAGCAGGTTGTTCTCCCACCTGGCCTCTGGGGAGAATCCCCCCTGCCTCTCCTTGAGTCTGGTGGCTTGAGGGGATCCTCAGGCCTACAGCTGCATAGTTTCAACATCTGCCTGGGTTGTCATGTGGCCATCCCTTCCTAGATGTCTATTCTTTGCCATCTTTCATAAAGTCATTGTCCTTGGATTTAAGGTCCACCAAAAGAAGGTCAGAAATTAGTGAAATCTGAGTCTACCTTGTGACCATCATGTGCACACTATGATAGCCAATGGGAAGTAGAAGACCCCTTTTATACTGAAGTTCCCAAACCCCTTACTGGGGTTCCAATGGCACAACTTTCCCAGGAGATGCTGCCCCTTTCCAGCAAACATGTAACCATTGATGTCAGCTGGACACCTAAGTATTTATTTACGCGATGTTTTCTTCTTTTGCAAACCCGAATTCTCGGGCTAGAATTCCAGTGCCAGAGGAAGGACCCTGAAAACTGCTTCCCCAGACTTACTTAACCCATAAACCTCAAGCCTGAAGCTGGCCAGGCATCAACACTAGGATAGTTTCAGCAGCCTGAGCAAGCAAGGGTCCACCACTCAGATTTGGTGTCTGCCTCACTGCAGCATGGCTGGGCATATACACAAGACTTACCATGAGGTGCCAGGGGTCATTCATGGACAACTAAACAGGAGAGGCATGAACTGAGCAAGTGTGGGTATCAATGGGTGGTGGAGGAGAAAGCAGGAGAGCTGACCAGTCACTGGCCCAGAGGCCTGCAGACACAACGGGACAGGAAAGCTGCCAGCCTGCATCTAAGGGGATGCAAGGACAGTGCTGTTGAGTAGCTCTATGATCAGCCCACACAGACAGCCTTCTGTCCTAGAGCTGGTGTGTGTCTCGGGTGTTTGTAGGAAAGAGGTCTGAGCTTCTGTTTGGTGCTACTCTGCTACCTACAAGAGCTGCCTGTGGCTGTGGGGTCTGTCCAAGGCTCAGACCCATCCTCCTGAATGAACAGTGGCCTTGGCTCTGGTTTCTCCGTGGTTGTGAGCTGGTGGGTGTTGGCTGCTCTATAACTCCATGCCCAGGATCCCTAGTTGAAAGGGCCACGGTTCCTGACATCCCTCTTGCCTGCCAGTTCTCCAGGATCCTGAGAAGCCTCCAGAGCCTCCCTCTGCTCTCTATTTTGCTTGGGGTCAGCTTGGTTGCCTGGCATCCAGCTCTTGTCCCAAAGCTTACTGTCTGAGCCGCAGGAATCTTGGAGACTTGTACCATGTCATCCTCTATGTCTGCTCACTGTCCACCCTGAGTAAGGCCTGCTCTGGAACCCTTGTCCAATTCTATCAGTGCTTCTGAGACCTGGGCCTATCTATCCCTGTCTCCATGAGTGGAATACTTTCTGCAAGTGGCAATACTCAGTCCTGGCTTTCTCTGCTTCCCTTTACTGTTGGCGCTGCAATGGGCCAGCATTTGCCACATGCGTCCCCAGCTGCACCTCAGCTCTCTATCCCCACAGCTCTATCCTGCCCTACACCATGAGGCCTTTCTGCCTCAGTCTGGATGGGTTACTGTGCAATCTCTCTCTCCAACTCTCTAATCTTTGTGCTTCAGAGCTGCAGCTGTGGCCTGGCCGGTATTGTTCTTTATCTGCTGAGAGATTCTCTTCCCCCAAAGTGCTTCCAAGAACTTTCCTTGGATCTCCTATGGCCTCAGTTTTTCTATGTTCAAATTAAGTTGGCTTCCCACCCCTGTATTCAAATTAAGCCAGCTTCCTTGTCTGTAGACAGGAAAGGCAGATGTCATCAACACGTGGAGTGTCAGGATGTGTGAGCAGATGTGAGTTCTTCCTGGTGTGTATGGGGTGGTATGTGTGTGTCGGGGGGAAGTTGATCACACAGACCAAGGAGCTTTGGGGACCTCATTGAGTCAAAGCAGCAGCCCAGGCCATTACACTCACACCTCCATCAAGGCAGGAGCATGGTCCTCTCTATTTTCTTGCTTCCAGACTAAGGAACAGGCCCTGTATATATTCACCCCTGCAGGATAACACACACAGCCCTACCTATAACAGCTTGCTTTCTCTGCGGTAAACGTTTATGATAAAAGCAAAGCAGAGCAAACACCAGCTTTGGCGCCTCTGATTCAAGGGGAAAGTATACAAAATAAGCATTATTGTGCTTGCCATGATTGAACAGGGGTGGATGCTGATGGTGGCTGGAGAAACCAATGCAGGCCCTTCCTAGAATATAGAACCCAAATCCAGCAGCACAGAAAAGAAACCCATTCTGGACCCCAGCTACTCTCCTGATGGGCCATGTAGGCTTCCTACATCCTAAACATCTATCCTCAGCAGTTCCCTTCTTGCCTGTCTCTTCATTCTGCACCCAAACACAAGTGCACAATCTTGCCAATTTAAGACTGGTCAGAAGAATGAGTTCCTTTCCCTGCTGCTCACAGGAACCAGGAGTGCTGTCTGTCTTTCAGCTGAAGTTTCTGGTGGGCTCCCTGTTCTCCCCTCGGGTGACACGTGGCCCTTCCTATTGGCCTGATGATCTTTTGCAGGTGCAGAAGGATGAGAGGGGAGAACATCACCAAGGTGAGCACGTTCATCCTGCTGGGCTTCCCCACAGCCCCTGAGCTGCAGTACCTGCTCTTCCTCCTCTTCCTGCTCGCCTACCTCTTTGTGCTGGTGGAGAACCTGGCCATCATCCTCACTGTCTGGAGCAGCACCTCTCTCCACAAGCCCATGTACTACTTCCTGGGTTCCTTGTCTTTCCTAGAGATCTGGTATGTGTCAGACATCATCCCCAAGATGCTGGACGGCTTCCTCCTGCAGAGGAAACGCATCTCTTTCACTGGATGCATGACTCAGCTCTATTTCTTCAGCTCCCTGGTGTGCACAGAGTGTGTACTCCTGGCTTCCATGGCCTATGACCGCTATGTGGCCATCTGCCATCCCCTGCGCTACCAAGTCATCATGACCACAGGA